CAAGATCGACCGACATTTTGACTCCTATAAATGTTGGATCCTCATGTGTGTGATCTTTATTCCACGCGTATTATCGGTGACAGGCCCATCATTTCAAATCCGTCATTGTTCTTATTTGATCCACTACGTGAAATTTGCCGATGTCTTAGGCTCGCGTCTCTAACACAGTTTAGCCTAGGACCAGCATTCGACTATTTTGAGCGACTATTCAATTTGCATTAATTAACGTGGTTGTAGCATTTTTTCCACATATATAAAGCCAACCCGGCTCCACATATTTATACATTGTGCATATTTACATTCACCTGACAATCGCCTTCTCAATCTTTGAAGTTATTTGACACCACCGATAACCGGTCACCACCTGTTGCATGGTAAGAACTTGTAAGATATAGATATTTATTATACTGTGAGCGTTTTTTCACCACATCCTAGTAGTTCATAGGAACATTATTCTTAGATTTTGTTTCTTGTTTTCTACTAACTATGGCAGGTTTCAGAATTGTTAGTTCTTGGGCATTGTCGATCGTGGGAGACTTGCCAGTGCCTATGAAAACACAACAACCGCCACGAGAGAAGCAAAGACATAAGAATGCACATAATCAGGTTAATGTTTCCATGCCACCATTTATTGTCATTTTAGGCCTGAGTTATATATTCAATGGGAGTATGAAATAAATTCTATATTTGCTTCCCATAAGTTTGATGAGCATAGAAAAGTTAAAGGCGTGGTTAGTACTTTCAATAGCTTTGCTTTAGTTTGGTGGAGCGAATATTGTCGATTATACCCTGATTATGTACCTACTACTTGGGATGATTTAAAACTTCTCATAGGAGATAGATTCATCGATGTTTATTATATTCATGGAATGATTATAAAATTACAACGTTTAAAACAAGGTAATGACACCATAACAAAATATTATGATGATTTACAAACTACCTTGTTGCACTCCTTTTTAGAAAAAAAGAGTGAAGAAGATTTTATGGGGATTAAACCGTGATATTTAGAAGATACTAATTCATGAAGAATGTTATCCTATGGACTGTTTATTTTGTCTTGCTTGCAAAGTTGAACAAGAAATATAAAATGACGTGTTGCCCGCAAGGAGAACAAGCGCACAGTGCACATTCCAAGAAATGATATTGTTGTTCCTTCAACTACTAGGTGTACTATGATAACCATATTCATTGTTGTGAGGACTATATTACCTAAACTATGTGACACATCAGCATCGAAAGTGTCTACATCATCTAGGTTGATCATAAGAGGTAATGACAAATGTACTGACCTTCCACCTCCACATGAGTATGATGAGTGCCTTGTCAATTTAAATGCATCATGTGATGAGTTACCCACTACTTTGATCACACCATCTATTTTAGAGGACTATGTTGATGATTTGACTTTGCCATGTAATCAAACAACTGCAATATCAACAATTCCGAGTGCACCCATTGAGTTAACTGTTGATGCGAAAGAACCATGTGTATTAGGGAATAAATCAGATTTGGATCAAATATGTTTCAAAATAATTGTGCTAATGTTTAATTATTTTTATATGACCTCTAATCTGGATGATGATTGTGTGTCAAATGACTTGTTGCATGTTTGCTTATTTAAGCATGTTCTAGCATGTAATTTTGAAATGATTAAAGTTTATTCACCAATGTTGGGATGGTTTAATGATAAGCATTGCCAATATTTTGATATGAATAAGAGCTTCGCTTATATATTCAACTGAGTTGCAATATTTTCCCGCATTTGACTTCTTGGGATAATATTTTACCTTCATATTTCACGACATTTGAAGAGCACTTTTATATAAATGTGTCACATGTGCCACAACCGAGATCAATAAAAATGGATGACATATACATATACACATTGCCTCTTTTGACATATACATATACAACATATACAACTGTCATATTAAAATTTGGAAATTTTCAAGGTCATTGACCTATTAAAGACATTATGTTCTAGCCATTTAATGGTCGTAATTCAAATTTGAACTACATGTACATGCAATAGCAAACCACCATGCGTTGGAAAAATCATTTACGTATTACATTTACAATAACATCATGGTAACACAAAATACACATTCATGCCTTACATTTGGAAAGAAAATGTAAATATCTGGCAAGACAACCGGGCCCCACACGATTGCCACTCTATTTCGTGCCTCGCGGTGTGGAAGGTAAGTGGCGCCGGTTATTAATCAGACATAGTTCTGTATTGGGAACCGTCGGCAATTTGTTTTACACATGGCTTTTGCTACGGAAATCGTGTGTAACTCAAGCTATAGTACTCGTAAATTCCGACGATTGATGCGGGTGCTGCTCTCGTAGATCTAAATTCCAGGCGCCAATAAATACTACTCTACCCATGTCGTCCCGCCTGCATTCTCATCTACATTCTCTCCTCG